CACACATCTAGGTCAGAGACAAGAAACTGTAACTTTTAGGAATTCCACAAAGGAAACACACCACCTGCTAAACTGGAGAAACAACACATATGGAGTTACTAAAGTTTACAATACTTACAACCAATACTCATGATCCCCACACCCACCTAGTCCACTAAAATTTCTGCCAAAGTTAGAGGCCCCCAGTCCTTCCAACTTCCCTCCTGGAACTGGTCAGGAGCCCCGGACTCTGCCTCTGAACATGATCCAGTTTACAAACTTCAGAGTATGGCCCCAAGAGTAAAGGGTACAGCCTGGAATGCGAGATCAGGGGGATGACACAGGGTGGACTCTGAGCTCACACAGATGGGAGGTGGACCCTGGCTCTGCCCTGGGCTGGCTCCATGACTCTGAGCTGATCTTAGTCTCTCTCTCTCTCTCTCTCTCTCTCTCTCTCTCTCTCTCTCTGTTTAGTTCAAGTTCCACCCTGGACTTCCTCTCAGTGCTGAATCACAGCTACTGAGTCACAGCTGCCAAGGCATTTTGGGAGGAATGCGAGGGCTCCTCCGCCCTGCCGTCCAGAACCCACTGTTTTTTGGGTGGCACTGGATTCTCTTACAGCTCGTGTAAAATGAACCTCATGTGGCCACCAAGACTGTCCAGGGGATGGTGGCTTGTCCAGAATGGGGCCCAACCTGGGAGACACAAGGCTTAGTCTCCATACCTGAGGAATCAGAACAGACACTCCTGCCCCAGAAGAGAACACAGAGATGGGACAGAGACAGAAGCCTCTCGAAGGAGGGCGACTTGGGGTTATGGGGCTTCCCCAGAGGTGACCCTACCTGAGTGTTTTCTTAGGTGATTCATGGTGGCTGGGGCAGGAAGGGGACCTGCCAGGACACTGGGAGCATCCTCAGCAGCCCCAGATAGCTTTTGCTAGAGGAACTTTTCCAGCTCTTTTAATCCGAAGTTACATTCCTGAGATATTTTTGGAAGTACTGTTGTGGCTTTTTGTTTACATAGGTAAACAAAGGTAATTTGTAGTCTGCTTGGAGTGACTTCAACAAAAGAGAAAAACACCAGAGTTGTGACAGAGCCTCTGGTTGGCCACACCATAGTTAGGCTCCTGAGCTTCCCTTTTGGCCATCGGTGCACTCCCCTGGCAAGTCCAGTTTTAGAAAGAACTCTGCTTTGTTGCTTCAGCAAGAACCCCTGCCTTGGATATGTGATCAGGTTCCTTGGCCTCCACCGTCCCCCATCAATGACTAAGTCACCCTGGCTGCCTTCAGCCCAAGTCCAGTTGGGTCACTTTAGCCAGAAGCGCTGGGCTTCCTTTAGTCATCTTCTGCCCACTGACCCTTGATAAAAACTGTTTTTCCACTTCACAGCTCTGTAATGAAAACGATTGTTGTTGTTGTCAGTGGTGGTGGTGGAGGTGGTGGTTTCTTAACCCCATAGAAGACATTATATGATGAACTCTATTCTCAGATCTTAGGAGCTGGACTTGTTTACTTGCTCTATTATGCCAGCAGCTAAGCAAGGGCAGAGTGGGTCCTGCACATTGAGTACTAAGTCTGTCCATAATCAGAGGCATGGCTTTCCCAGGTTTCTACGAGCTACCTACAGCCCATCACAGACTTTCTGTTAGCAACAAGCAATCCTTTGCTACACAGAATTACTGCCCTCCTGCCATCTTATCTGTTTAGGAGTCTCCCTTAGAAAAGCTGTGAACTCCATGAAGCCAAGCATGCTGTTTTATTCATTTTTAAACACTTGGTGGCCATTCAGTGGATAGTTTTTAATGAACAACAAAAACAAAGAGTCCAGAATTTGGGGACAGAAGACCCCACAAAACAGTGAGCCTGGACTGTCTTCTAAGGTCTCTGATTCTGAGAGCAGACTCTCTGGGCCTTGGGCTTCCTGTGGGAGGAATCTCCAGCCAACCTTGTGACTGGAGAGGGAGTTAAGGGGAGATAGAAGCTGTGATTAATTCTTGCGGTAGCCCCTTGGCCCCAGGCCCTGCTTCTGGCTCTGCCCCTGCACTCCTGTTGGAGCCCCTTGATTAGGGCTTGTCACCCCGCCCACCAGCCCAGTGGGGTATACAGACTGTGACCAGGATGTGCACACCAGCCATGGTTTCACACCGCTGCAGGGCAAGGCTGGAATGTTGGGCTTGGCCTATTTAGTGCTTATCCTTGAGTGGGGGAAGGATTGCCTGCCTGTAAGGTGAGCACTTGGGCAAACTCAGGATCCTCTTGGCAAGGAGTGAGGGAGGATGGATTTGGGAACGGCAACTGGTATTGTGACTGGCTGTGGCCAAGCATTCTACTCGCTGCCCAGATGAGCCTGGCTGCCTGAGGCAGCATAGGGAAGGGGAAGCTTGAGCAGTCTGAAGGATGACTCAGGGCTTATCCAGTAAACAGGACTGGCAAGAACATTCCAGACTAAGGGAGGAATGCAGACAGCAGAAAGTATCTGGTCTGTACCAGACATGCTGAAGAAGTGGTCCGTGAATGCCAGCAGAGTTGGGGGAGTCAAAGAGAAAGATGTCAGTGGCCAGGGTAGGGAGCTCAGGCTGTTGGGCTGAGAAGCTCAAAGGGCTCCCAGTGACAGCAGGGACAAGCAGGGAACTGTCTCTGCTGGGCTTTAGTAAGATTTCTGGCCGAAGGGTAGACAATGAACAAGGTCAGTGAACACTGAGGCCATTGCCACACAGTACTTCAACACACAATCATTTCCCTCCAGCCATCCAGCCTAGCACATTGTGGTCCTGTTTTAATTTTCTGGGAGAAGGCTGGCCTCCGTCACTGTCTGTCTGGTCCTGGAAGCTTTTCTAAACACTGGACTGCATATTGTCCTCCAAATCTCTGTTCCCTCAGTGGGGAGCAAGTACAGATCTCCTCAGCTCCTACCCCAAGACCAGAAGTGTCTGAAACTCCTCTGTGAGCCCTGGCCTGAGCCTTGGTTTCCTTGCACTGCCAAGGCCACAGGTGTCCAAACTCCCACATGAGACTGGGCCAAGGTGGGCCCTGTCCAAAGCCCCAGTGGTCCATAGCTCCTCTGTTTCCCTGCCACCCAACCCTGGCTCTTGGCCTGGCCCTCAGGTTATCCTCTCATTCCAGGGTCACCATCTTAGTTATCAGGGCTTGCCTGGCTCTGTCATATGCTGTGGAGCTGGACTCCCAACATCTCTCAGACTTGAAACCCCAGAGTGTCTTGTATTATCTTGACTGGCCATGCTTAGTTCACTCTGCCTGGGCCTATCAGCTTCTTCCCAGAGCCATAGCTCTGTAGCCACATTCTCCTGTTCCGGGGCTCAGTGGCCTCTCCCAGAATGCCTTGCTGCTACAGTGAGCAGTTTGCCCATGAGTGAGCTCCCCACCATTACTACTTGTCTTCCCAGGTAAGGACCTTGTTCCAAGTCATAAGTTGGACCTAACTGAAACAAAAGTTAGTTATCCCTCACCTGGTAGGATTTCAGCCACCTTGTCCTATCCTGGGGCTAGGAGGTCTGTCCCAGGTGACAGACCCTGCCATGTTCCCCAGATTTCTCTAAGCCAATCAGATCAGGGAGTTTTTGTCTTTGGGCTCAGCCCCACCTCCTCCTCCTCCTGGGCTGCCTTCCCCCACCCCCATGGCCTCATCTCCAGGTTTTCACTACATACAGGGGGCCCCTTGCTGAGCTTGAGTGAGGTCTTCCACCTCCCTACCTTCTATGTGACTCACATGGCTCACAAAGCCTCCCTGCCCCAGAGAGCAAACAGCAGCACC